AGCAAAACAAGTGATTTTCTGTCACAGAAATGGAAAACCATTTCTAAACTTATCGGAAAATATTGTACAAGAATTGAGTGAAATTCAAGAAATTACTGAAACGGGCGTTGAATTGAAAAACGGGAATAAATATAAAGTAAATACAATAGTATTGGCGACCGGATATCGATATGACTTCTCATTTTTGGACAAAAGTTGTGCCATAAATGTCAACAACAGTGGAAGAGTTGAAGGCATTTACTTACACCTCATTAACCAAACGTATCCATCGATGGCTATTTGGGCCATAGCTATGAAAGTGATACCCTTTCCTCTCTATCACATACAGGTCTGAACCCAAACTAACTTTCAATTGTCTCACAACTTATCTCCTAACAGGTCATACTATTCATCAAATGTTTGACTCGAGAGCTGGAGTTGCCATCGATTCAAGTGATGGAAAGCCATACACAACAGGAACTGTCTCTGAGAAAGTCCATGGGTTTGAGTGAAAGACATTTCCATAAAATGGTTTCCCATCTCTTCATTGATTATTGCGATCAATTGACACAAATGGCAGACATTAAGCCATTGAGTCCTGTCTTCAGAAAACTTCATAAGGATTTAAAGCAAAACAAGTGATTTTCTGTCACAGAAATGGAAAACCATTTCTAAACTTATCGGAAAATATTGTACAAGAATTGAGTGAAATTCAAGAAATTACTGAAACGGGCGTTGAATTGAAAAACGGGAATCAATACAAAGTGAATACAATAGTATTGGCGACCGGATATCAATATGACTTCTCATTTTTGGACAAAAGTTGTGCCATAAATGTCAACAACAGTGGAAGAGTTGAAGGCATTTACTTACACCTCATTAACCAAACGCATCCATCGATGGCTATTTGGGCCATAGCTATGAAAGTGATACCCTTTCCTCTCTATCACATACAGGTCTGAACCCAAACTAACTTTCAATTGTCTCACAACTTATCTCTTAACAGGTCTTACTATTCATCAAATGTTTGACTCGAGAGCTGGAGTTGCCATCGATTCAAGTGATGGAAAGTCATACACAACAGGAACTGTCTCTGAGAAAGTCCACCCCAAACTCACTTTCTGTAAAGGTATTTTACCAAAGGGTAGAGAAGTAACTAATAACGCTAGTTAACTGTGTTTACCGTCTGTAATTCGGTAACTCAGGACAGAAGTCTTTTGAAGTATTCCTAAATGAAGAATTCAGAAAACATCTGCAATAACCTATATTTTTGTACTTAAAATGGTAGTAAAGTCTGGTTGTGATACAATAGTTTGTTTGGTAAATTTGTAATAAATGTTTAATATTAGTTTCCGAAATATCTCTATTACTGTTATTTAGTGCCGATAATATGGCATGACCATGGTCAGGGCCATCACGCATGCAATTCATTCAATATATTGTAATTTAGTTCAATAATTGAGTTGGGAATGTTCAAAAGGGGCTTAACTTTAATATTACTTTAATTCTGACCATTGAAATGGATGTAACCCTCAATTTTGATCATGTTTAAAATTCAAACTTTGAATCATTGGTTAAAAATTTCCTTAAAATCATTGCAATAGTTGTGATTAAAAGTTAAGCCCCTTTTGGACTCACAACTCAATTAATCTCAACTTTAGTATTACTGTATTTAATGATAACAGTGTTATGATTGGTTGCATTGATTAGTAATTTGCAAATTACCAATTGATATGTCATAATGAGTCATTGTGACAATGGTAGCATGGTCATTCTGAGACATCAACCCAATCAATCACTTATATTGTACAGCATATGTAGGGTTGGATACAATGTGTGCTCAAAAGTAAGCATAGATTCAAATGTATAACAAATAGTGATTAGTATTAAAAGTGCTGTAATTGTGGTTAATATGAATGGATTGACAAATGAGACAAAACGCAAAGCAATGCAACACAAAAGCAATGATAGGAAGCAGTGATAATAGGGTTCACTCACCACAAGTCAGCCCAAGAGGTGACAAACACTTGAGATAACCGTTTAATTTGAAACACGATTTGAAATAAAACAACAATTAATAAAATATGCAAAACATTAACGCATTTAATATTTGTATTGTTTTCATTCAAAAACACATTCAACACTTCAATGCGGTCTATATTTATGACCAATAATTACGTCAACTTTTATTTATTATTACATTTAATTGTCCTTTAATTCAGTTATTTTGCAATTAATTAAAGAAAGTTTACAAATGTTTTTATTAAAATGCAATCAAATAATACTTAAATCTATTTAAACAAAACATTTATAAAAAGTTTAACAATTTATTGTTGACGTAATATATAAAACATTTTTGACAAACAATTTTCAAAAAGTTTGGCGCAATTCATGTGATAATTGACATGAATTGTCAATCAATTGGTTTGAATGCTTTGGTTCGCAAACTCTCGCAAATGACTTCTGTTAACAAAATATTTAATAATTTATAATTTGGGACAAAATTATATAATTTATACAAACCTTAGCGTAAAGTCTGCTCCGAGGTTTCTCTTGGTTTCAATCGATTCAATACTTCTATTGATTTGTCCGATGATGTCGTGGAAGAGATGAGGACAACATTTGGTCACAAACTTCAACACATCAAACAATGGCTTCACTTGAGATCTATTGGTTAAATTGTTTTCTATATAACTTGTGAACACTCTGTCGATTAGAATCCTATATAACAAAACAAATTTAGCATTTGTCTCCAAATTTAATGCTAACTTCACGTACTTTTGGGCGTTTTGTTGAGAAAATAACTTAAGTATAGAAGCGATGAGAACCAAAAAGTTCTCTTTAATTTTGAAATCTATGAAAATCCTTTCGAGTGTTAGGCTTAAGATTTGGATCAATTGATCGTCACTTAAATTGGATTTACAAAAATCATCGATAAAATGGATAAGATTTGGGTTTAAACTGGTTTCAGATCTGGGAGTAAACATATTGACCACAGTTTGAAACAAGCATTTGCGCCAATCGTGGCCAACATTTCTGTTTTCAAACTCATTCTGCAATGAATTAT